ATCCGGCCCGTGGAGACCTTTTTGTCTGGCCCCGCCTTCTTCCGCGTGCCGGCGAGATTATCCCTGAGGCGCTTGAGTCCGAGCATTGGTGTCAGCGGGAGAAACGGATTCGCAGGCGGCTGCGCGAGGCCCCAGCGCACGCACGGGACAGCAGGTAGCCCAGGTCAGGGACAGCTCCGCGTGCCGCTTGGCCGGGCGGACGAAAAAGGGGGGTCTCGAAGGCAGGCTCCAGATCAGACCCGGCGGCAGAGGATCGCGGGAGGCTGGACGGAGGGGAGGAAACCCGACGGTGGTTTCTCAGGGGCTAGGAGCAAGGGGCTACTTCTCCGGGGGCGGGGCTGAGGAGCTGGTGCCCATTGCAGGAGGCGGTCTGGTTGCTGTGGCACAGCCTCTGGGTGTCTGCTTTCAAACCAGCTTTTCCCATTAAAATGCATGTCCCTTGTTCCATGAGGCTATGTTACAAATTGTCACCTCATTCCCTGCATGATAGGAGAGCGATCACATCTCTTCAAGTGTGAGTGTCTTAGGCTGAACATATTGAACCACCCCCAATTTCAAACAGTGATTTCTAAAGCCAGAAATGTCTGCTATTTTGGCATCCAGGAAACAATTTCACCATTCACACTAATACAGGTGTTCATGTGTAGTGTATCAATGTGTTATTAAATAATAACTGAATAAAATAATATTAAATAAATAATTAAAAACAACATCCATTTTTTGATTGGTTTTTATTTGGACCTCAAGTGTGTAGTCGGCCCCCGAACTGCTGTTTGATAGTTAATGCGGCCCTCGGGCAGAAAAGTTTGGAGACCCCTGATCTATACCCATCTGTGAATAGATCACTAAGCCACATATGATGAATACTACTTCTGCCTCATTCCACTCCTATGTTCAGGAACTCCATTCTACAGCAATGGAAGCTTCTGAGTAGCTTGAGCAGAGTATATTGCAGTATTCCAGCTGTGATCCATATCAGAGACAAATGTTCATAGGCTCCAGGTCAACTAAAGGCAAGTTACACATAGGGGCTACATCTAGACTGGCATGATTTTCCGCAAATGCTTTTAACAAAAAGTTTTTCCGTTAAAAGCATTTGCGGAAAAGAGCGTCTAGATTAGCACGGACGCTTTTCCACAAAAGGACTTTTTGCGGAAAAGCGTCCGTGCCAATCTAGATGCAGTTTTGTGCAAGAAAGCCCCGATTGCCATTTTCACCATCGGGGCTTTTTTGCGCAAAACAGTTTTCAGCTGTCTACACTGGCCCTCTTGCTCAAAAGCATTTGCGCAAGAGGGCTTTTGCCCGAACAGGAGCAGCATTGCATTTCCGCAAGAACACTGACAATCTTATATGAGATCATCAGTGTTCTTGCGGAAATTCAAGTGGTCAGTGTAGACAGCTGGCAAGTATTTCCTTTGCGGAAAAACTTGCCAGGCTAGACGCAGCCAGGATGTTTGTCACTTGTGAATCCCAGATGAGAAATGGTTCTAATCAGTGTTCCCTCTAAACTGTGTGGCAGCACAGCTTCACAGGTGCAGGAAGCCCTGAGCCTCTGTCGGGGTGAGGCTAATTAATCACCTGTGAAGCTGCAGCTTAGAGGGAGTAGTAGTTCTAATATGACCCCAAAGATAACACATCTACCATTGTTTCTTCCTTGTAAATACTTATGTTAGGGCATAAGCATGAAATTTGGCTGTAGATCCAGCTCCAAAGCCCTGTAATTGAAAGAGTCAGATCTTCTGCATGAAAGGCAGTATACAAATATAAACTATTCATAACTAGAAATGGTCATAACACTTTCATCAGAATAGTTTTTCATCAGAAAATATTGTTTCAATGAAAGAAAATTTTTACATGAAATATTTCAACAACATTTTCTTTAAGAAAAATATTTCATAAGAACATAGCTTTCATTTTGGAAAAAAACGTTGTTTGGGAAAATGTGTACAATTTCAAAACTGTAGTTACTCAAAACTGGATTATGATCTGCATACTGGAGAAACTATACTGGAAACAGTATTAAAATAAACCTGCTATTAAGTAGATTTTCTTATAGATCCATGGGAGTTGATTCTCCTTCCCACCTACAACAATGTATTGCACACACTATTCTTTGGATGACATGTTAACAACCCTCTATAAGCAGCAGATAGGACACAGTGTAGTCTCTTAATTTTATTTCACTTTTTACTATGCATGAACATATTTTATTAGTGAGGAAACCAATAAACAGGAAATGGTAAAAAGAAATAAAAGAGCCAATAAATGTTTGTTATAAATGGTACACTGCCTAATATTTTTCCAGAGACACCATATCCATGTATGGTAAGGAGTAATAGTGTTTAAGTAATGTAGACATCTTTGCGACGGGAAAGGATTTATTTTTAAAGAAATGAAAATAAGGCACTGTCAGCTTTGTAAGAAGAAATAAAGTAAAAATTACATTACTAATAAATAAATAACTTCTTTCCATTCAACTAAAATGTTGTGTTATGTTGACAGATCTGGGAAATTTTAGTGGCCGGACGAGAAGTGCAGTCTCTGTACGAGAAGGTCAAGGAGTTGTTCTGATGTGTTCTCCTCCACTTCATTCACCAGGTATAGTAGGTAGCACTCTTTATTGAAATTGTTTTGGTTTACTGTATGCTCATTATTTTAGAGCATGTTTGACTACAAAACTTTAAAGGTGAACTAGGCCCCATTCTTAAAAGTTCTCTGATTACCAAAGGAGTAATTAAAGATCATATACTGTAAATGCCATTGAGTAGGCAGTGTTTCTGCGATAAGTCTTATTCTCATTATTACTGTTGATTGCAACGGCAGTAGTCTCCATATCACCAATGAGTGATATGCTGCCTTTGGGTCACAGAAAGTGATTTCTTCTAAAGTTTAGAACTCTTCAAAAAATTGTTCCAAATGTCAATAGTGAGAGACAGATGTTGAATACAAATAACATTTTCTTTCTAATATAGCCATGATTTTGGTTGCCTTCCTTTGTTGCATTGCTTTGTTACCAGCAGAACAGCATAATTGCTAGAAGTCAGAAATAATCATAAATTCCAGGAAATTGATCCATCTGAAACTTTCCAAACAAAACCTTAGAAATGCCACTGTGGTTACATTTTTCCTTCTCAAACTCACTCTCCTGCAGAGTGTGTGTGGATGGGTAAGACTTTTTATAGAAATCTGTTATTTGTGCACTGTATATTAAAGTGTACTATCTAGAGAAAGTTTAGATGATAGAGTACCTTTCCGTCAATAGACACTCTAGAGTAAATCTTTTCCTACTTGGGCTTTAGTTCCATGTTTAGAGGAGATTTGTTTCTTCCTTCATATTGCGGTCCTAGAGAAAAGTTATCTTCTGTAAGGGTGCATCTAAACAGCAGCGTTATTTCAGAATAATGGCCGTTATTCCGAAATAACAATGCGAGCATCTACACAACAATTCCATTATTACAAAATAGCTATTTCGGAATAGCAGTAGTGTGGACATTCCACTGCTGCTATTTCAAAATAGCTCCTTCCCATGCCATTCAAAATAAATATTCCCCAGTGCCTCCGGGAGCTCTAAATCAAGGGTGTGTCTAGACTACATGCCTCTGGCTACCAGGTATAGGAAAATGAAGCGGCAATTTAAATAATCGCCGCTTCATTTAAATTTACATGGCTCAGTGCGATAGTCTGGACGCGCGGGTGGCGACATCAAAGGTATTTGTTGACCACCCAGGTATACCTCATCCCACTGAAGTCATTCTTTCTGGACAGCTTCCTCAACACAAACCATCTCTTATCCTAGGATAAATTTCTAAAGTAGAATGTTAAATTTCATCATTCCCCACAGCCTCCTAAGCATTGTCTCCAAGAACAAGGTCCTACAGTTCACTTGAGAAGCTGCTCACTAGCATGAATAAGGATAGCGCAGTTGGGACTCTCGAAGCCAGGGATGGTATCCTCGTGGCAGGGCACAAATGAATCCGTGAAGAATGAGATGATAAAAAGGCAAATTTATTAATTTAACTTTTCACAGATGAGATAAAGTGTAATTAAATAATACACGTACACTTCATTCACACAAAATACCAGTTCCTTCAGAAAAGTCTGAGTTGTTATTCAAGGCTCTAATCAGTGGGGAATACTTTTATCAATTCCTTGCTAGTCTCTAAACAAAATTGCTGAACAATTTATAGAATTACTAGAGAGATTTCTTTTTAGAGGACTTTGCAATATAAATTACATAGTAGTTTATCTGTGCATATAGGTCTGTTTTCTGATTTTTAATGTATTTTTACTTTGATGTATCATCCAGGAATGATAATGGTGATTAAAAAATTCCCAAAGAAACAAAAATGAACAAATGAAATGAGCTTTTAAATAAATCATTTGGATTAGTTATACATTGTCTTGTGCCACATAATATTCACATAAAAAGAGCATAAAATAGCCACATAAAATAAATTTTTTAGCTGTCGTGCTTTAAACCTCTGTGGTATATCGAGCAAAGTCAGAGGAGAGGAACATGATATTGAATTTTGACTTGCATTAACAAGTCCATTTTCTCAGATTTTGATTTCTTTCCCAAGAGATCACTGAATGACAAAATGAAACAAACCTCCCTCAGGATATCAGAATGGGCAAGATTTTTATTTTCTGTCAGGATACCTTCTCCACATACTGAAACATGGGAAAAAATGTCAGGATACTGATTTTGGATTCATACATTTCTTCTTAAGACACAAATCTATGTTTGGACTCCCAAAACTTGCTTTTTTTTTAGGCCATCATTCCCAAGATAATATTTCCCACTTCTTTCAAAGGACTCCCAGTCCCTACATGATTACAATTAACTCTTGCTTTTCCCCACATCCCGGAGTCACTCTCAGAGGCTATGTCTAGACTGCAAGCCTCTTTCGAAAGAGAGCGTCTAGACTGCACGTTGAACTTTCGAAAAAGCGGCTTGCTTTTTCGAAAGAAAGCATCCCGTGAGTCTGGATGCTCTCTTTCTAAGAAGCCCTATTTACATTGAAGAACGCCTTCTTTCGAAAGAGGAACTTTCGAAAGAAGGCGTTCTTCCTCGTGAAATGAGGTTTACCGCCATCGAAAGAAAAGCCGCGTTCTTTCGATTTAATTTCGAAAGAACGCGGCTTGAGTCTGGATGCAGGGGAAGTTTTTCCCGAAAAAGGCTACTTTTCCCGAAAAAACCGCTGAGTCTGGACACAGCCAGAGTGGTTTCTCACTAGAGAACTCCTCCCACAAAATATTCAATTGCTCCCATACCTTCTGTAGAGCTCTTTCTATATAAACTAGTTCCTCTCCGTTCATGTGCCCTCTTATTTTAACTCTCACCAATACATGCTCATCGATGTCAGCCTCCTGAAATGACAGCCTTTGCTGCCTTTATTTTTTTTCTTTACTGGCAATATTATAGTTTTTTACTGTGACTTTCTGAAGCATGTAAATATGGGTCTTTATTCAGCCATTTAATCGTTTTAATTACAATGCTCGCTATAGAGAGATTAAAAATGAATGGAAGATTTTATCCTTATTTACATTTCTCCCCTCAGAATTAATGCTTTCAGTTGAGTCTGTTAATGCTTTTATTCAAAGCTTTTAGTATCTACTTAAAAGAGAATGAATATTCTCATCGTTAAAATTAGAGCAGTGTTTACATAGTACATTCTATGAGCAGAAAAAAGCAGATGTGTGCTTCTTCCCACCTCAAAGGGACATTACTGCATGCAAAGAAAGCTGCTTTTACAGTCTTTCCACATAACAGCTGTACAGATGTTAAACTGTAACTTTTATATCTTTTTCCAAAGGACAAATCTGGGTTTGCCCTATTTGGAAACAGTATCATAGACTGCATCTTTTTATGCCTTTCTTTCAGTATTATAAAGATAGTAGATTCTTTGGGGAATGTTTCAGAGATGATTAATGCCAGTGTTATTGAGATTGTAGTTTTTCCCATGCATCTCCTGAACATGTGCGTAGCATGTTTTGTTAACCTAGCAAGTCCTAAAAGGGAAGGAGAACTTTTTTATCTTAAAGGCTGAAAGTTGTAGCTTTCATTCTTATATGTACTAAATGGCTACCCCGCCCTCACCTTACATAAACTACAAAAAGACACTTCAATGGTTGTTAAAAGAAAATTCCATTCTGTATGCAGAGCTTTGAAAATTCGCAGTAAACAACTTTTTAGAACAGCTTAAACTCTTCAAAATGGATTTGAAAATAAAGTTGTCATTAAAATTGAAACTTCTGAGATAATATTGTCCAGTTGTTAGGACATGAAATCCAGCAGAGCTATACTTTGCCTTACGACATAGGTATGAGATCCTACTTATGAGATTGTAATTTTCTCTCCATCCCTTCCTGCTGTTGCATTGCTTTAATAGTAGATGATTAATTGTATTATGTAGATCTTTCATTTGGGAGAGAACAGCAGCAAACAGGGAAAGTTGTGAATATTTCCTATGCAAACTAGGCAGGATCCTCTGTCTAGCACACAAACAAAATCCCCGTCCATGCACTACATCCAATTGTCTAGGTGGAATGTAAATCCACCCTAATCTGGGTATTCTGTACATTTCAGCCAACAACATGCTTTACTGTTGTGTATAGTTCAGTGGTCACCAACCAGCAGATCGGGATTACTGGTAGATCTTGGAGCCTCTGACAGGTGATTCTGGCAGGTTTGGCCAGGAGGCTATCGAGTGCCAGCACTCCATCTGCCCCTCTAAGCACTTCCATGTTCCTCCTGCCTTCTGCCTTGTAACTCCCCACCCCAGCCTTGGGAGCCTCTTGCTTGCTGTGCAGGGCACAGGAAGAAGAGGAGGGGTTGCAGATGTCAGGGTGCCCCTACCTCCACCCTGTACGCAATCTCCACAGAGCAGAAGGGGGCAGGGATGGAGAGAGTTTGTTGGCTGCTTTTAGGAGTGGTACAGGAACAGAATAGGGGTAAGCCTGCCTTAGTCCCTTGCACCGCCACCCAGAAGCCACTTGGTCCTGAGTCCCCCCACACCCAAACTACTTCCCAGAGCCAACACCCTGTACCTCCTCCTGCACCTCAACTCCCTACCCCAGGATCAGCTCAGAACCCCTCCCACGTTCCCTTTAGCCCAAGATCAATTTGTCTCCCCCTCCTCCACACCCCAGCCCTCTGGCCCCAGCCTCATAAATGTGAGTGAGGATGGGGGAGGAAGGGAAGATGGAGTGAGCAGGGTCAGGGCCTTGGAGAAGGGCTGGGAAGGAGATGGGGCAAGGGTGTTTGGGTTTGAGGTGGATCCTGGATTGCACTTAAATTAAAAATTGATCTCATGCTTAAGAAAGTTGGAGATCGCTGGTATAGTTCCTCCTTCCAGCGTTAGCAAAGAAAATATCACTGCACATCTATCAGGCAAGCCTATGTAATCCTTCTCTAGCTACCAGGACTCTGGCAGAAGATGCAATTGTCAAAGTCCTTTTAGTTCCAGCCAAGACAGGCTTTGGCTCTAAACTGTTATCTTCTTTTCCTAGTTTCTATGTTCATACTAAACCAGAAAACAAACTTCCCTAAATTTTAAACTCTTCTCATAACTTCATTAGTTAGTCTCCAGAATCAG